AAAAAAAAAAAAAAAAAGCCTAGCGCAAGATTAAAATTCTAGAAATACCCGGGCGAGCCTGGTAAAGTTGCCATGGACTCTTGTACTTGGATAGATCCGACCCGATATGCTTCCCCGAAGAAAGATCGAGGATGGGATATTACTTCATTGGTTAAAATACCAAAGTAATACTTGAACTTTCAAGTTTATACCAAAATCATCCTTAGGCTTCAAAAAGTGTTGGAATAGTCCTTGAACTTATTTTTTGGCACCAATTTCATCCTTTTATCAATTAAGTGCTGATGTGGTGCATTTTCTATAAAAAAATTCAACTCTTCTACTTTTCAAATATTAAGTAGAATTTTTCTAGATTAACTTGGCAATTTTTATTAAAAAGATTATTTATTCTCTCTTTTTCCTTTTTCCTTCTCATCGTGTCAGTAATTCCCTTACCTTCTCATTGATAGCTATCAAACCTATTTCAACTTTTATGACAATGATGGCTTATTGCCAGTTCTTGCTCCCTTGCTTATGCATTAAGAGAATAATACTAGTGCCATACTAGATCCCATATGTGTTAGGAACCCAAAAATCACGCTTGAGACCAAGATTTTTTAAGACATTCCAATTCAATATCCAAATTACATAATCAAATGCAAACAAATATACAACTTTACATCTAATTTTAACATCAAAATATCATATCATCATAAACAAACATACATTTGTTAAACTCCTAAAAATCATGCTAGAGAAAAAGCCTTTAAATGACAATGATGTTATTGGAAATCAGATTGAGGAGAGAGAGTGTGATACATTTACAAGAAGGAAGGGATAAAGGTAAGGAAGGAGTAGATATAAAGGTAAATATTTAATTTGGTTCTATTTTAATTTGTCAATTAAGCAATTAAAAATCATGCTAGAGAAAATTCCTTTAAATGACAATGATGTTATTGGAAATTAGATAGAGGAGAGAGAGAGAATGATACAGTTACAAGGAGGAGGGGATAAAGGTAAGGAAGAAGGAGATATAAGGGTAAATATTTAATTTGGTTCTATTTTAATTTGTCAATTAAGCAATTACCTATTTTCAAAAAAATAAAAATATGTTAATTAATTAGTGATCCTAATTTAATTATATATGTTAAAAATGGTCACATTTTCTATGTCAATCATATAGTTAAAAAAGAAAAAGAAAAAGAAAGAAAGACTAAGGTTTTAAATGCCACATCATCAAAAGGATTGTATTTTTTTTTACACATCATTAACTTAAAAAAAAAAAGATTTTTTAATAAGATTTATCTAATATGTATTTTTAAGATACAAGTTAAGAAAGCATTAATTATATATTTTCTATAATTATTTATATAAAAAAATAAAAATTAATTTTAAATTTATTATCTAATTAAAATTGTTCAAATAATATTAATGTTAAAAATAATATCTTACTTTTAGTTTTAAATAAAAAATTTATTATAAAATAATACAATTAATACATTTTAATTTGTGCTCAAGTTAGAAAAATCTTTTTATTGCCGGCATAAAAGGACGAAAGTTGTAAGGAAATATAAAGTTCAAGGACCATTATGGCATTTTCTGAACCTTAAGAACGTTTTTAATACAAACATAAAAGTTTAGGGACTCAATTGGTCTTTTAACGTACTTCCTTTTCGGACAAAATGTACGGGATACAATCAATCCGGTCCAGAAAAACGAAGTAGGAGTGAAACAACTTCTGAAAATCTGGAAACGGAGAAAGAGAAAAGGAGAAACAGAGACAAAGGAGCATGACGGTGAGCATGAGCAGAGTGGTTTCAGTTTCACCACCCACCACCACTTTCTCCTCAATTCAACAATCTAAGACCCAGAGGATTCATTTCATTTCCAGCAATCCATGTCCTTCAGTCGCTGTACCTCGTACTAAGCTTTCTTCCCCACATCTCAATCTTGAAAGCCTTAGCTTTGGTCGTACAGGACTGCCTCAAAGGAGCAGTTTTTACTGCCGGAGTAGCACCGGACCCGGTTCTCCTGGTTCTGGTACAATACCCTTCCTTTTTTTCTAAAACCCCTTTGGTTCACTCATCTGGGTGAATTGAAATTCATCATCTGGGCTTCACAGATTATGTATTTGGATCGGTTTACTGTTGAACTTCATGTATGGTCATTTGATTGAGGAAAATGTTATTAATTATTTCAGATAATAACGAGTAATTCTGATTTTGTGATTGAATGATTCTTTAATTATTGCTTATTAAGATAAATAGATTCAGAAGTCTTGAACTTTAATCTTGGTTTGCTATTGGTGTCTAGATCATTTCTTTTTGAAGAGAAATATTAATATGAGTTAGAATTTACATGTTTCCAATGGGTTTAGAATTTTTTATATTGGGATCACGAAATGGAACATGTGGGTTCAGGTTTTGTTTAATATTTCAATGCATAAAGTCTTAAAAATGTTGAATAGCTTTGTAATTCTGCGCAGCTGTTGTTTTCTTTTTATGTTGTGGAAACTGCTAAGATGCTGAGCATTGCAGGTGATGGTGAGAGCAGAAGTGTGCTAGATGCATTTTTCTTGGGAAAGGCTCTAGCAGAAGCACTGAATGAGCGGATTGAGTCCACAATTGGGGAGTTTTTGGGTACGGTTGGTAGACTGCAGGCAGAGCAACAAAAGCAAGTACAGGAGTTCCGGGTAATTAACTTCTATAGTTGCAATTATTCCTTGTTGGCCTGTGAGCTACGAGCATCACAAAATAGAAAAAAAAAGGGCTCATGAGCTATGTTAAGAATGATTGTTTACAATTTTCTTCCTGTTGTCTTATGCATGACAGATTGGATTTAGTTTATGTATTGTAAAAGA